AGCAGGACTGTACGAAATCATTTAGGGATTTTGGAAATCATGCCTTATGTTCCAAAACCTGTTTCTGGCATCAGCCATAATTCTAATCTTCTCTTTTCCCCCCATAATTGAAATTTTAAGATGGAAAAGAATAATGAGCTTAATTTCTAGGGAAGTAGAAACCATCTGCTTTAGGACTTTTTTCTTCCCCTTTCAGAAAAATGTATATCATTAACCAGGTTAAATCATACAGCTTACAAGGTGGACTGCAGCCTGACTTCCTCACAGGAAAGAAACCAGAAGACACTCAAATAGCAACGCCTGAGCAGCAAGACCTTGTTTCAGCCAAGAGTAATGGTCAATCCATCCAGCAATGTGTGTTCAACCCAGACAACTCTGGTTTTGAGGTCCCTGAGACAACTGGATGCTGATTTATGATATGGGCAGTATTAGTGTATACTTGCCGTGCTCCTGTATGCGATCTTGGCCAACTGTGGTCACTAACCGGCAATGTTGTGCAAGGTGGACCTTGGGTCCTACTCAACATCCCATTCTTGCATAAGACTTTAAAAATTTAGACTTCCCCCTTGGGAAGTGGGTTTCAGTTGGCAAAGCCTCTTCAGGGACAGACAAGCCTCAGCACTGAACGAAAAAAACCAAATTTTACTAAAATAATAAGCTCCACACATAAATGCACTACAAAAAAGCACATATCAACCGTTCATCTGCCAAGACTGTTTTATATAATAGAAAACACAGTTCTGCTACAAGGAAAGCTTTACCACTCTCTCAAATCAAACTGCACCAAAAAAATCAGTGTTTTTTCATGAAAGATAGAGGTGGGATTTGAACCCAGTTTTACCCAGGCTGCACTGACTAAGGAGCAGCTTTCCTGAGAAATTCATAGGGGAGGTTTTCAGGGTATTTTTTTTTTTTGTTTCCCCCACTTGCATTTTAATGAGATCATTCCCCCTTAGCTGCCAGCATTTGTATTCTTCAGCTGCTACGAGATCTTCTCAGCAAAGGCTGATACCAGGCTCAGTTTTCAAAGCGACAGCGAGCTGTTTGGAACAGATGCCTTTCCAAGCTTCCGGCACAGAAGGTAATGGCCATGCGTGCTATTTCCAACCTGCGTTTGTCTCCTTTGCTGAGAGAACGTCCTCCCACAAGAGTCTGGATCAGTAACTCCCTGAGAATTCAGCCTGGTTGGCACTTAGGATCCACCTGAGATACTACACAAGAAACTGTTCCATCTGTTACAGAGGAGAACTTCATCTGACATCTCTGAACAGACAGGAGAACAATCATTTCTGGCTCTAAAATCAAGTTTTACTGAAGAGTTTAATCAGACTCAGCATTGGTGGAGCAGAAAGCAGACAGGAGCAATGAGAGCAGGCCAAGGGGTATGCTATGCAAAAGAACTCGTTGCAAAGAGGTTTTCTCTGCCCCTTATCACTCAAACTTCCAAAACAAAGAGCAAAGACAACCTTTAATACTCCCATTTCTCTCTCTAGTAACCTTGTTAGTGCTTGAATGAAGAATGTGAGACAATCTTCGTTGTGGTGCCTGTTTGAGCTGGTTTTAACCAATGAGTCTACAGACATGTAATTTTTTTTTTAAACATGAAACTACCACTTTGGTTGATCACAGATTTAAAACTTAACTGTATGCTTTTACCAAAACATTAATTGCACTAGAGAAGAACGTAATTAATATGGCTTGAAACAAACATTCACATTCAAATACTGATTTAATGCAGGACATAACAATCCAAGTAAAGCCATAAAAATGTAAATTCAGTATTTTTCCTCCATTTTTATACTGTTCTTCCAAATGTACTCAAAAACTTGATGAGTTTCCTTACACCAGAAATAGCAACGCAGCACATTGTGTGACAGAAGTATTTGACAGCACTGCTTCAGAACAGATTGCTCCAAGCACGTGTATCAGCAGCCAGTGCCAAATATCAATGCAGAGACAGTTTAGCTGCTTGCTCGTTGACAACAGCATCAGCTTTCACCTAAGCTGCAGGCTCCAAAAAAAGAGCCCAACAGCACAGAGGTGTAAGCAACTTCTAGGGTAACTGGAAAGAGTTATGTTGCCTTGTACCTTTCTCACAAAAATTGTCCCAGTATTCATTTTAACTTTTTTCTCAGGACGTGACTGGAAGGGTCACCTTGTGGCACGTAATTCCTGATAATTCAGTACATCATTACAGAATAAGAAAAAAAAAAAAATCCAACCATAACTAGCATCAGCGTTTTCACAGTTTAAAAAAATCTACTTTTTATTTCTGTTATTGTCATTGGGAGGTGGCTACAAAAAGCAACCCCTACCTTAGGCTAACTGGTCTTAAAATAAACTTGGGCAGAAGAGAACTGATGGCAAATACATAAACACTGCTGACAGTTTTCCATTAGGTTTTGAAAATGGATCTAGCGCTCTGCTGCTATCCAAGCTTTGGATTCCAGTAGCTGAGAAGTGGGGTTGGGCTTTAAAGCAACATCTAACAAGGGTCAAAGCAGTTAATGAGGTCTTTGCTAGAGGCAATGCATAACAGCTAAGGAAAAAAATTTCAGCACCATTTCTGTAAAAAGGAACTCATGAGAAAAGAGCAAACTTAACTGGATCTCACATAACAGAACAGGAGATAACCAAGAAACACAGAAGTAAAGAAAATCAAGTAATTCCTTAGCAATGCTGTGAAACTCCCCTGGCCTTTAAACTGGGAAGAGTTGGATTTGGGATTGGCTCTCCCATGGCCAAGTAGCAATTGCACATCACCACGGGCACAGCAGAGAAGGAACGTATCCTTTCAAAGTCTGCCAGCCTCCTGTGATTCACGCACCTCAAGTAAGCCACCACTTGGCCTTCAGTAAGCAACATAAACAGAAAAGATACAAAGCATTGCTCATTTTTGATCAAGGGTAAGACAAAAAAACAAAACCAATGCGGCTGCACTGGCTACAGGCACAGAGAAGTGGAAATATCAACGTGCACAAGTTTTATCATCTAGAGAGCCACTAGCTTACTGTCACAATGATGAGCTCATCTGTTGCATCTTCAGCAAACTATGTGTGAATAAACATTTCCAGTGGAAATCCTTCTGTTCGTGAGTATGAGGCTAGCTGAGGTTTGAGGCATCCATCACTGTGGATTTCAAGGTATGAGTATCACACGAGAACAAACAAGATTTGTAGAGACTGAGAGGATCAGGGGAAAGCAGAGGTCATGTCAAGCCTGGTTTTGAAGCTTTGGTATTTTTGCAATTTTTCTGTTTCTTCATGATGAAGAGAGATCTGGATTTTTATAATCCATTAGAAAAATTTGTTTAAAAGTCTCTCACCTACCAAGGATTTTTGTATTTTACAAAACAAAACAAAAAAACCCAAAAAAACCCAACACAACAAACCAACCGAACAACAAAACCCACAATCAGTAGAAATTCACTAGTTTTTTTTCCCCCTATACAGATCAAAAAACCCCCACTAGCTATTTCCATTTCTGTTGTTCAGCAAGGTCTGTTAAAGACAAAGCAGCTTTTCTTTGTTGTCGCTATTGTAGCTGTGCAGAGGTGTGAGACAGCCTACACGTGCAGCAAAAAGATTTCAAGAGACTCTGCAACCCTTATTAAGTTCGGAAGGCAGAGGGAAGCTAAGCACATCGTGTTCACAGCATGTGAAACATGAAGTGAAGACAGGCTGCTGCGTCCCGCCATTCAATTCATTTTTATTATCATATAGATTGGTTCAAAACTTAAATCAGGGATACCAACGGCATATCTGATTAACAGGTCACACTTGTTAAGAGTTATCCTTGGGAAGTGAATTTGGTGACCAGGCGAGCTCTATATGCCTGATCAAAGCAGATAGATAGAGCAGCAGTCTAGCCATCACATCCTACTGCCATTTGAGAAGTGACTCACGGTGCCAGGCATTCACACCGCACCGACAACAGGCTAAAGAAGAAATATTACCTGGTGAGAAAGAACAGGAGCAGCAGGAAGGAGGAATTAATAATAATAATGATTATTAGAGTTTAGTTTTTAGGCCCAGATGAATTCTAAGAAATAAACCTCTTTTCATACTTGTTTACAGCAGTTATTTATTCAAAGTAGTTAAAAAAAAAAAAAAAAAAGAGAGATAATTTAGGCCTGTAACACTCCTGTTAAATCCAAGCATAACTTACCCTTGGACAAGTTCTCTGAGTGCAGTTATGTGATTTTAAACGGCCATAAGGTGATGCCAGTCCAATCAGCCGCGCATCCCTGCAAATATTTTTGGAAGAGAGAAGTGAAATACAGCAGCAGGACCGTTGCTGCTGACAGCTTGTGTGTATTTAGTTTTGTTTTGTTTCCAACTTGAGAATCCACACAGCTTGGCCCAGTGTCAGGGAAGTGGAACCTAGCGTAAGCAAAGGATTAGTTCTCCAGCTGGCAGGATGCATGTCCCTTGGTGGTCCTAGGGGTGGTGTGCCAGGCAGCTATGATCAAAGGTTGCAAAATAACCCTGCTAATGGCCTCAGACGTTTTAGGTGGCTGAAAGAAGAATTTTTTAATTTATTTTTTCTGTGGGAAGACTAAACCAGAACCCCAAGTCCCATGCTACTATTTATCAATAATAATAATAATTTAAAAAAATGTGGATAGAAATACTTCCAGTCTTAAGATCCTGCACCAAGATAAAATGCTGAGATGCAACGGAAGATCAGGATGGGATAAGCTGCAGGAAAACATAGCACTGACTGCATTTCTCCTCCAGTACAGCACAGAAAACTTTTTGCTCAGAGGGAAAGCAGAAGTTAAATATACATTGACAGACAGCATTGTGTGCTAAGTCAGTACAAGTTACAACAGCTGTCAATTTTTATCCTTACAGAGCATTCACGATGGCATTTTCCAACAGGAGAACATCACAGACAGCAATACGACAGCATTACTGAAACAGACCACTCCAGCCTAAGTGATACGGACTCTCCTCCCCTCCTTTCAGATGCAAAGACTGACCTAAAGTGACCTCCTACAAATTCTGGTACAGCACGGGCTTGCATAGACATGCTGATTGCCTTTAATTCAGTTATACTGAAAAAAATGTGTATGATATAAGCTATGCATATATGCTTGAAGTTCCTGGAAGCAGACAAAAACAAAACCATGCTGGAAAGAGACAAAAAAAATGCTGGTGCTATGTGATCCATAGTGTGTGACTATGAAGAGGAAAAAATATAAGCAAAGTATTTAACAAGGACACATGGTTCTATTTTTTTTAATTTCAAAGGCTGTCCAGAGCAAAGAAACTATCACTGACCTAGTCAAAGAAAAAAAAACAAACCCAAGCCCTAAAAAAGCCCTCCTCACTTCAGTCTTACCTGGAAAACGCTGTTGCAGGTTTTGAACTTCCAGAGGGACCTCCCCTAATAAATTAACCCTTCTGAATGGAAGGCAGGGAAACTGAAGAAAATTGCACAACCATTCTCAAACAAAAAAATTAGTCTCCAGCACTCAATAGCTTTTCTGTAAAATACCAGATATAAGCACCCACTGTTAGCAAAGAACACCAGCTGTGAGCCCCCTGGCTGGAACTCTTCGTATTTAGTGTACAGCAAACACAGGTAACGTTTTGTGGTTTACCTGGCAAGAAAAGAAAGAAAGCTGTCTCCCCAAATATAAACTCTGATTATCTTCATTTTTAGTTGCCCAAAAACTAAGCATGGGCTACTAGGGCTCAGTTGAATACCATTAGTCACAGAGACAACGGATTCCCAAAATAATCTACGCAGCCTTGAGTCAGGTTTTCTCTGTGCATTTAAGGAGTAGGTACAGTGTGCAGTAGTCACATTTTGGGACTCTGGCTCCCTCCAATGCTGGGGGCACTGAAGCCGAGAGGTAATTTCATCAGTAAAAGATTTCATCATCACACCAAGCAAGTGGAAGGTTTGCTCTTGCCACGTAGCAATGTGCTGTGAGGAGATAACGCAAGAACCTTTTATTTTTAATTTATCAGAGGCAAGACAAGGCCGAGCACTGCTGTGCTTTCCCTGGGATCCACACGCAGAAAATTCTCCTGACTGCCGTACCTTCCAGCACTAACAGACAAGACCCATTCAGAGTTACAAACAGCAAACCTAGGCCAAACAGGGATTTTGATATTCGTCTCCCTCCCCACATGCTTAAGACAAAGCAAAGCCAATTTTCACATTAAATACTAAAACATCTGCACCTAAATGTGAAGTGTTCGAGTCACTGCCAAGTGACTGGAATGTATCTGACTGTTTATACCTGGAATTATTCTTTGGCTCTTTTTCAGTTATATCCAGAAAACACACCACACCCTGATTCTGTTCCTATACCATCACTGGCTGAAATAATAACAGAAACACCGTGGTTCCTCAGACACTGTACAGTATTGGAGAAAAAGGAGGGTCTTAGTCTTCTATTGAGGATATGCTTCTGAGTATAGCAGTCCTTCAGCTGAAATCGCATCCCCAAGTCCCACGGTCCGGACAGGATCTTTACACACCAAAACGGGAGTGAAATGGAATGAGATGCCTTCTCTGTGCCAATGCACTACTGGCTCATCTGGATTTAAAGAGATTTTGGAATGTGCCTCTACCTGGGAGGTCACAAACTCCAAAGGAGCTTTAAGAAAGACTTTGCTGGTATCAATGGTTTCAGTCGCACAGGCCTGAGTTCCTGCTGCTCTAGCTCCGGCAGCCACAGCAGCAACCTGGTTGCCCCAGTAGCCATCCACTGTGACAAGGATATGATAGGCCAGGGTGTGGAAGTGGATGCGCGTGAGATCAGAGGCCTGGTCCGCTGTCTTCCCATGCTCCTTCAGGATCCAGAAGAGGATGTCGCTGACTACACCCACATCGGGAACTCCGCTCCAGGAAGCAAGGGAGGCGTGCGGACCAGAGGCAGACTGCGTGAGGAACAGCAGCTCCTGCTCGTTCAGCCCAATGGAGTTCACCAGGGGAAAGACCTGCTAACAGAAACACAGGAACAGCGGTCTTCCCTTCAGAGAGAGAATCAGACTTTGGTCTTCCCCATTCAGGGTACTGATTTTACAATGCTGTGTTACCGGCTCTGTCGCCGGTGTCCTCAGCAGAAGGGAGTGCCCAGTTTCCTGGAGAGATGCAGGCCAAAGTCACTGCGCAAGCTTCCCCAGTTCAACAAGTCTGCAAGAATTACTTAGCCAAGGAAACTTCAGGCCAAGGGTGCATGCTCATTTTGTGCAATTAATTTTCTAGACTCACACTTTGACATCAAAGAGTAACAAAACATCGGATCCACATCAATCACTCATAACACTGAGATTAGAGCTGTGTCAAGCTAAACAAGGAACCACCAGGATCTGCAGGAAAGAAATTCTGCAAAGAAATTGAGTTTTTTTAGAATTATAAACTCAGCTCAAATTCAAATCCTGTTTTTTCTAGAAATCTGGAGGCCTGCTAAATCTAAACCAAAGTTACTTGTATTTGTGGAGTTGTGAGTATTCTCCTGGGTCACTTTCCCCCCATGATTGCGAAAAATCTTTATATCCAAGAATGGAGCCCAGCTGTGTTGCATGATATTCTTACTGAATACAGTTGCCGAATAAACTCAGATCTGCAAAAAAGCCTTCGTCCTTGCTGAAAACGGTCTGATGATCAGCTGAGAGCATTGTAAGATACCTCCTAAATGAAACTTCCCAGAGAGACCTTTATAAAAGGAATACTCTGTCTGAGCTAAAGAAAACAAATCTGTCCTTTGCTAAGTCATTACAGTTCTCCTTCACTGCACAGAGGAGATTCTGGTAAGCTCAGCAGGGAAAACAGAAGCATTCAGAATGCAATAGCAGACATTAAACCCAATGTTCTCAATTTATCTTCAAATGGATAGCCCTAATTTTAAGTTTTCATTTCTATTTTCATCTACCAGTCTGTGCCTTGTGATACTGAAGAAAAGGAAACTGATAAAAAGAGCAAATCTTTTCATTTTCGTTACCTGATGCATAATGTTGCTCATGAAATCCTGATCAGTCATACTGGCCAACTCCAAGTGTATGGGAATGTCAGTAGGGATATCAGAGATGGAGGCCACGGCCTACAGGGGTACAGGAAAAGAAAAAACAAAAACAAAACCAACACCCTAAACCACATTTTCATTAAGAAACAGAAAGAACAAAGGGGGTTTGACTCAGAGATACACATCCTTTCATCTTCTTGTGTATGGATTTAAACACAATTCCAAACAAGATGTCTGACAAGCGCCAGAACGTACTGCTAAGGGGAAGAAATAAAAGCAACTTCTAGTTTTCAGAATCCCAGAGCAGGAAAACTGTATCTAACCCTAATCTGCACCCAACTCAGCACTTTTCTAATGAACTAATTCAGAATCCTCACAAATCTGAAGCAGCTGTAAAACAGCTGATCCTAGAACAGAGGAAAAAAAAAAAAAAGAAAGGCTAGTGCATTGCGTCAGGAAGGGCTCTCAGCTAAGACAGGCAATGATCTGTAAATAAAAAGAAAACTTGGTGTAGCTTCTTTGGGCTCAGATAAGAAAGCTGCCTCTTGGATTATCCAACATAGTTGCTGCTTAAAGAATGCAAGTCTTGATTATAACCTTGATCATCTTAGTATCTGGGATAGGAAAAGTGTAATTTAGCCAGTAGATAAGCTCCAGTAACTATGTCAATGTACTCCAGCCAGACAACCAGACCATACCTTTTTCCCATGGATAACCCACCGAATCTACGAAACGTTAGCGTTACAGGATTAGACTTTTGCCATTCCTACAGTTCACGTTCTTCTTTTAGCATGCAATACTGAAAAGATTTGTGGGAGATCTGAAGACAGAGCCTAATTACAAGTTCAAGCCTGGGAAACCAAAAGTTTGCCATGAAGCATTGGTTGGAATGGAAATTATGGTGGTGTTCAAGTATCTTACCTCCATAAGTCGTCTCTGCCGCATCTCCTTGCTCTGGCCTTCCATCATGTGAAGTCCTGAAAGGACCACGAGGTCTGGCTGAAATTCATCCAAGCTGGACACAAACACTTCCAGCATATTTAAGGCGCCATTTGATAGGTCATGGGAGAAGATGAAGCGGTTGGCATTGGGTGCTCTCACTTGTCCCCACTCTTCACCTAGGGTGAAACAAATAGAAGCAAGTTAACTCAGAAGAGAAGCAAATCAAACCACATATCTGGAGATTTTTTGGGGATATTCTGCTGGAATCCGAAGGCATGGCTTCACAATGTGACTGTGCCCAATTAACAGCTACTGCCAGCCACAAAAGAAGCCTTGCTCTTTTTCTCCTTCATTCTCTTCACTCATTCCCACTGCCTCATTTAGATGCTTGTCTGATCAGAAGGAAAATTCAATACTTGTTGGTTTTGCAAGCTTTATGATGTTTTAATCAGTTGTATTAGTTTAGCATGCAATCAGGTGAGTGTCACAGCCAGCTCAAGCCAAACATTTGGAGCGTGCAGGATATGCAACGAGAGGGGAGACCTTCCACTTCTGGCAACAACCACCTGTTAGCCTGACTCAAGCTGTATCACGAAGGTACACCCTGAAAAGTCTCACGGCTCTTACTGCTCCTGACTGCGTGGCTCCCAGAAATGATCTGCAGAATAGAGTTGCATCAGTGCTGAATGCATAAATGGTTTTATTCCTGGATAAGATCACAAATTAAATGGGCTCCATCTCCAGGACACTGAGCCATGAGAAAACAGGGTAATGACAGTGAGCTTAGAGAGGATACAAATTACACAAGGCACAGTCCAACTGGCCAGCCCTCTGGCAGTTCTCCCCATCTGTACACACATCTTCGCTCAGGCAGCAGGCAGTTCCTTGTGCCACTTACGATAACTGGACAGAAAGAAATGTAAGGGAATAAACAAACACCGATCACAAAGCACAGCTTCAACAGAAAGCTCTTGAGACACAAGCATTTTTGAGGCTCTCATAGGCAGAATCTCCACCTTAGAACCAGCCTGCGTACTTGTTCACTCAGCTCTCCCAGATTGTATACTGGTTACACTATGGAGAATATGACCAGCATTTGTGGAAAAGCCACTAAAACAGCATCAACAGCCATCAGTGCTGCCTCCTCTTAAGGTAAGTCTTATGGCAAAGTTCTGTCTAGGACAAAGATCCCCAGAGTTGCACCAGGAGGGCAGCTGCCACCTGACAACACGGATGGTGAGAAAAGGAGACAACATGTACTAACGTATCATCTAATGAGGATGCTTCCAGGAGCAAGAAGAATTAAGATTTACTTAGAGATTAGGGTAATTTTACAAGTGCTACTGTGTAACAGCACTTGTCAGTTATAGTAACCTTGTTTCAGCTGGAAGTCCATCAGAGTGCATGCTTTGGGTGCTGCTCCACTTGAGCTTTGCTGCTGGAAAGGTTTAATTAAGGTGGTTCTTGCCTTCCCTCCTTGCCAAATACTCCCTCTTCTGCCATACCAATGTAACTCTTTCTGAAGCTATATATTGAGACAATACCAGTGGAATGATTCAGGTTGAAAACAGCAAGAAAATACATGCAGATTTGATTTAGCCACTACATTAGGGTTACTCTGAATTTCATCTGCATGTGGTTAAATGGTACCTTTCTGTTTCCAGAGAAAATTACTGGACTACTTAGTGTTCATACAGCTTTAGAATTACATCCATCAGGTCTGCTCAGGCTATGCATCACAACAAAATAAAGTCCACTTGGTTTCTATAGGTTATAGTGTACAAGCATACAGAACCAAAGGGATGGCAAGACAACAGCACGAGTCAGTATTTACAGTGACCATATTACAAAGGAAAAAAGTTTCAAAAGACTTTTAGGTGTCTGTTCATCTACTACAGCTCCCTGAAGCACACGGAATTACCAGATTAGCCCAGTGACAGCTGCCAGTAATGATAACTTACACAGTCCTTCTGGAATTAACCGATTCAAAAAAACCAACTTTAAAACCAGGACTATCTCAGTGACGTTCAGGGTTCCCATTTAAAATCCAGCCTTTGGCAACTACCTGCTTGATACTCCAAGATAAGATGGAATTCATCTCTTTCCTGCATGGATTCAGCTGGCACAACCACATTGTCATCAAGTAGTTCATGGAGTTTAGGACCAACTGGGCCACAAAGGAGGATCTAGAAAACAAGAAAAAACAATCAAGGATCCCCTGCCATGTCGCTTGCCACCATTTCAGTGCATTTAAGCATCACCTAGACAACTGATTTAAAAAAATAATAATTCAATTTTTAGAAGTCAGCTATGCTTTTCAACTTGTAAGGCCAACCATATGTTCCACCATAACCTAAGAAATAACTGCAAGATCCCCAAAATCTACAGGGAAGTAACGTGAGCCTCATAAAAGACAAGCGAATAGCATGAAACTTTTGGAACACATACCTTCAGGTCTGGATTTGTTGCAAGCTTCTGACCAATGAGAGCAGCATTTCCTCCTACGTAAAGCTATAAAACAAATAGAGGCTGGTATGGGCGTTGCCTTGCTTTCACAGCTTTATACATGCTTAGTCCTCAGTACAGGCTAGAGATTCTACCTTTTTAGACAAGGGTCTAGCATTACAGGAGTTAATAAAGCTTACTGGGGCTGAAGGCAAAACAATTTTACAATTCTCTCTGAGATCTCAACAAGTTCAGTGTTCTCTGACTTTTTAAAATCTAAATATTCGCCTTCAGGTAACTCACAACCCTGTACAAATCAATTCATTCGTAACATAAACAGCCCCTACTTCTAGGCAACTTCTCTGTGGCAGTTCGTAACTTGTGGTTTTTTAGCAAGGCTGACAAGCAATCATTTAAAAACTGCAAAAATACTTCCTCCAGTTTGAAATCAAGGGTAAACCTGCTACCTATGCCCACATGAAGTAAGCAGAACCATGAAAGTTTCTTCAGGTAAGAAAGGCCAAGTTTTCAAGTAAGAAAACTCCAATGTGAGCTTTGAAACCAAAGAATATAGACTGTCATGAGGATCACAGGCACTCAGAGGAGATGGAAAACAGGCTATAGAAGGACACAGCTAATAATCAGGTGATTCCAGAAAGCCAATGTAGCAAACGTGGTGAGAAAGAAGTCAACACAGGAGAGTCTTGACCAACAGAAAACATTTAGAGCTTTTCCTCATTTTCAAAAGCAGCTGGCGAACTGCATAAGCATTAGGCAGTCTGTAGAAATTAGCTAACTGCCAAGCAAGGTATCAAGTTAGATTCAGAAGACCCAGTATAAATTACAGCAACAAAATTTTGCTTTTGGAAAGGGAGGCTTCAGAAAAAATATTTATTTCTTTTCACCACTCCTACAGGGAATTTAAATCCTGTGTTAAGTAGCTGAAGCTGATCAGAGTGTTTACAACTCCTAATGCTTGGATCTATTTCCTCACTTCCTGCCTCATTACAAGATGTTGGAGCCTCTTTTACAGCATCAGCCCCATCTGGCTCCCATATAACAGTATTCTTACAGAGGCATCTTGGACTGACATTTCAGTCTTGGGAAAGCAATCAAGGGATAGACCATTCAAAACCCTACTCTTTGCAGCAGGTGCAGAGTTTTGCAGAAAGTCATTAACACATTCAAGCTATGGCATAGGTTTCTTTCCTAAACAATTTGCACTCTCACTAGACAGAGAATGAAAGTCACCAACGATGCAGAAAATAAGAAACATGCTTCTAAAGCTTATCTTCAGGTGGAAGACATACCTGTGCACCAGGGTACTCAGAGGCTGTTTGTGCAATGTGATGGAAAGACTCGGCGTCGCTGAAGAAGCGCTCGGCAGCTGCCCCTTTTTCCATGAAGTAAGCGAATGCTTCTTTCAGGTCCTGTCTGGAGTTCAAGACTGCATGATTTTTTCCATCCCCAGGTTCAAGACCGAGCGCCTCTAACAACTTCACACCAGACAGAACCACGTCTACGCAGGCGTTGACGCTGGAAGAGAGAAGGAGAATACATACTGGGAAAACCACATGTACCTTAGGGCACTTGCGAGACAATACAACGAGATCACTTCCCAGCCAGTGATGTTTGCTGTTCGCAGCCCTCATGCTAAGGGGGAAAACAACGAACCAAATGAAAAAAACCACAAAGGCATATGAATTTCCTGAAATTGTCTACTAAAGCATTCTCCTCTTGATGTGCTTTTATTGTACTCCAGCACTGCAGAGGAGAGAGGGATTTCTAACATTCTGCTGAATTAAAACAAGAAAGAGTAAGCTGCGTGGTCCAAAGGTGATTGTGTATGTTGCAGTACATGTTGTACTTCATTTGCTGCCTTAGGCTTGTTCAAAAAAGAATAGGCACAATAAGAATAACATTTTAAATTTTTAATTCTTAAAATAAGAAGGTTTTTAAAAATATATTTCTGGTTTAAAACGTACATGCAATTCAGAACTGTTAAAAACAAAACAAAGTATTTAAGTCTACTAGATCAGCCTCTTGAGTTTCAACTACTGCTAACAATAACCAAAATGACCCCCCCACTGGTTCTGTTTAAAAAGAGTCAAGAGAGCAATTTTTCAGTTGGAATATTTGAAAACTGCAATTTCAAAAGGACCATCCCAAATTTCCAGAATTACCACGCCTTCTTCTCTCAAATAGAGGAAACGGGAAAAAAATCCTGTAATAGTTAGGAAGTGATAAGAACCATTTCAGCAGATCTAGACTTTATGTGAAGTCTAACCTGCAGCTCAAATCTTCCAGACCCCATTTCTTCAATGGCATCAATTTAAACACAGTCTAATTCAGACTAGAGAATAGGAAAGTTTCTGGGCTGGAACCAGGCTCCCAGGAAGAAAGTTTATGAACACTTGCCCTTGTTTCTACTCCTCGGTTTCAGAGAGACACCAAATATTTACTGAGATTATACCAGCAATTACTAAAGCATCTTCTGAAACTGCTGTCAAGTGCAATTTCTGTTCCTCTGCCCCACGCTTCCCTGACAGGGATCCAAACAACCTATAAAACTTTTGCAGGATCTCTAACTTACTCTGTGTCTATCCACATGACACTCCAAATGCCAATGCCTGCTTACACGTCAGCGTGAAAGGCACAGCCATTTAGTATTCCTCCTTGTCAGTGACCTTTCACACATGATTTGGGCCGCAACACATGAAGGCTGTATCATACAAAATAAAGCACATCATTAAAAACCCTGAGGCTTTTCAGTACACAAGGTAACCAGCTCAGAAATCCTGTGTTGTGCATCATCTCATACACTAAGGAGAGAAAAATCCCCTCGCACAGCAGAGAAAAGAAAACCAAAGAAACAATAAGCTCAAGCAGCATTTTAGCCCCAAACTCACTGTGGCAAAAGGTCAGCAATTTTATATTTTAATGAATCATTAAAGATGCAAGGGGACATAAACCAAGTCACAGTTCTTTCAAGTGAGACACCTCTAATCATCTTCCAACTGTCTTTCTTCTCCCTCCCTGCCATTCCTCGGCTAACACACTTCGTGCTTTTAATAACTCCTTTAACAGCAGGGATATGCTACTAATGAACTGTTTTGGCTGTTGAACTTGGAGGCCCTGTGTGCTTGGTGTGTGTGTATATATTATATATGTTTAGTTGCTTTAAAGCAAAGCAGAAAGCAAGGAATAAACCTAAGATGGCTGGCTCTTTTCCAGTGAAGGTGTGGCAAAAGAGAGGACTAAATGAGGCACTGGAAAAGCTGTTTTGTCATGTATTCATGGGAGAAAGTCTGCATCAACCACGACGCAAGAGCAAGACAGACTCCAACTAACACTGTATCAGATACACAACCATTGAGGTGGAGTAACTTCCTCAAACACTTGAAGGCCAAATCTTCCAGTCAAGTCAAGTTACCCTGTCACGTCCTTATATTTAAAAGGAAGTGAGTCAAGTGCTACATATAATGGCAAGACTAATGGTCAGACTTAAAACCAGCATTTAAGATCAATGTGATACTCCTGAACTTTCCTCTCGCCCTCTTTCCAGTTTAAAAAGAGAAAGGGTGTTGGATTTCCCTGTGCGCGCACAGGCGTCTTCAACGTCTCTTGCTTTCTCCTCTCCTTTCCCTCCCTCATCTCTCTCCTGTGCATCTCTGCCTTGACTTGGTTAGTTCTCCCCTATCGTGAAGGCTTCGCACACTTCCCCACTTCATAAACTCATCTCTTGTACCTATTTATTTTCCAGACCGGGTGCCCCAATTGCAACCTTCCTGGAGGTGGGCCAGCAGCTCCAAGCCCCTCAGACATTCTCTGTATATAAATTTGTTTTACAGGCAAGCCAGCCAGGGATAAGGTCTCCAGAGACAGGCTTCCCAACCAGGTCTGAACCACACAGCATGCTTAAATCACCAACACATGAGTTTTCTGGACCATTAATCCCCTCAGCTGAGGTCCACCTCTGGTTAAGCACCAGCGGGCAGGTGCCACGCTTGCCGGTGGCTCTCTTGGGGAAATGCCCTTGCCTGGACAACTACAGGCCTGGAAGATTAACAGAGAGGTTTAACATACAGGCCGGAGCTCCAGCGAGCGCCCAGCCGTGTTGGCGTCGGGTCTTACAGCAGCGCAGCCCCTCGCGCCCCGGACGAGCCTCTCCTCCTGCCCGTCCGGAGCAGGGGAGCGGAGGCCTCTCCCGGGTCTCCGCTGGGCAGCGCGACCCCAGCCCCCAGCGACTCACGAAGCAGCTTTGAGCCTCCCAGTAATTCAGGGAGGCCGCGCCGGCGCCGATGGCCGCAGGCGAAGATCTCCACCCGGCAGGCGAGGCCCTGATGTGCGTGTACACACACGCACGCACGCACACACACACGCAGCTATACGGACATACAGCCCGGCCCAGGGGCAGGGGCGCCCCCCGCGCCC